TGCATACAACATTGTGAAGATTAAAAAAATAAATAAATAAAAATTTTTAAATTTTAATTAAAGATATCTTAACAATCACTTGACTAGAATCAATAATTTTTTTTTTAATTTAAATTCTACAGATCTGTAGAATTTAAATAAAAAAAGTTCATCAATTTTGGTCAAGTGGTTGCCAAGATATCTTTAATCAAATTTAATATAAATATCAGCACAGCTATAGTGTTATAAAGTGATATCTTTTAGACTATCTAGCAGCCAAATTTAGCTGCTAAAATGTTTTTTATATATTTTTTATAATTATTTATAATTTATTAAGCTTGATCTCTCTATTGCAAAGCTAAAATAAAATATAACATATAATTAATTAATAATATACAAATTTTTTAAATAATAGTTTTTTTTGAATATTAATGGTAGGGCTCCTAGATTTGAGTTCAGTTCAGTTCAAACTTAAAACTCAAAATTTTACTAATTTTCAACTTAACCACTACTCTAAGGTACCACACTAATTTTAAAAAATTTAAAATGTTTATATTGCTTAATACTAAAACTGCACCAATATTTATATCAAAACTTTGATCAAAAATATCTTGATAACTATTTAACCAAAATCAATAAACTTTTTTATTTGCAGTCTACAAATCTGTAAAATAAATAAAAAAAATTTTAACATTCATTCCAACTACAACCGTCCTTACACACTTCAACAACCCTAAGGTATAGTATTAAAATCTCAAACAATTTTTTTTAATAAACCTCAAAATACTATAGTTTTATAATCATATCTTTAATTTATTTATAATATTACAGATTATTGCAAAAATCAGATCACAGTAAAATGAAAAATAGAGCCTACGAAAACTATTGAATTTAAAATTTATATCTTCTTTTTTATAGCCCAAGAGGATTCTAAACACTAATTTAAAAAAATTAGATTATATATTTTACGGATTTGGTCAAATTTATAAAAAAAACCCCCATTTTTCTTAATAAAATTAAATCACATCATAATTCGGGCCAAAATTTTCTTAATTCTGACCGAAATTTTCACCATGATCTGACATTTAACATTACAAATTATAATCAAAATTGATTATTTGGTCTCTAAACTATAAATATCTTATTCTGTCAACTACTGCAATAAAAAATATACAATTAAAAATATTTATATTTATAACAATGATGGCGTCAAGAAGGATGTTTAACATTGATAAATAATAGCAATTAAACGAGCTGCAAAGGCGGAACGGCCTGCTTCTGTCTTGCCAACAACTTGCATTATCATAGACTGACGTGGAATACGACAATTGCTAGTGTTATCATAATTTTCAGAAATTTTTCCTTGCAATACGTCTTCAATATGCTGAGGTGGTCCATCTTTTTCAGGTTTATCAATACAAATCCATCCTTTAACTGTTGCCATCCACTCATCGTCGAGCAAATCTTTAACTGTAATATTACCGCCGGAATCAGTCCAATCGAAAACCAAAAGTACACCAGCTTGCCCACAATATCTGAGTGCATAATCAATATCGGGGGTAGTATATAGGCCAGGTCCAAATTCATTACGAATGTTATGTGTTACAAGATCAAAACCAGCTGAAATGACAGCAGGAATAACACTACGTGAAGTTCCACGATAAAGAAAATTTCTGTCAGTAAATTTGTTCTTTATTTGATCAAGTATTTTTGGTCTATCATTATAAGTAAACTGTTCCTTGCACACTAATATATTCTGAGGGAATGTCCTATGAGCTCTTCCAGGTATAATTTTTCCAGGGTCGATCGATTGAATATCTTTCGATACAAATTCAGGAATTTTGCATTGTTTATGAACATATTCGGACTCAATTGCTGGATATAAACTTATGTGTTGGAAGTGTAAACCATGAAGAATAGCTTCACGGGCCGTAAAAAGAACCGAAGAAACTCCAATAGGAACTTCAATAGATCTGTTCCATGATGCTACTTTATTTTCTTCAAAGCCAAGATCGTTAAGTATCTTTTGCACTTTGTCAGGCGACAAAATAAAGGCTACAGTACTCGGAAGTGTGGTATTTTCGATATCTAAATTTCTTTACATGTAAATTTTTTTTAATTGTAATATTGTAAAAAGTGAAATTAAAAGAACGTAAAATGATACATTATAATTACTCACTTATTAGCTATTTCATTGTCATTAATACTCACAGGAACCAAAGTAGTTATGTCATTACTTAAATTATCATTAAGTATAGTTGGTGTGGTTTGTTGTCCATTATCTATGTTGTGCCCAGTAGTTTGATTTAAAATTCCAAACTTTAATATATCTGAACGTTTTATAGGTTCTTCATCGTGACACTGTTTATAAAGTTTATTTAAGATTTCGAGAACTGATACTATGTCTGGACGTTTAGCTGGATCTTCATCCCAGCATAGTTTATAAAGATTTTCATACTCAGGGTTCGTGCCTTCAACAGGTGT